GTTTTTAACAGCACTTAATATAACATGCACATTGAAGTATCTTGCAATTTAATATATTCAGTTATGCAAACATGAGAACGTTCCCCCCGAGAATTCCCACGTGACGCTCACATGCTGATCTTGTAATGTTTTAGCTATTAATTTTTTGTTAAATTTTAAAACTCTCTACGTTTTTAAAGTGGACGATGGCCTGGTCGAAGCATCCCTGTTGCGAGGCCTTGGTGCCCTTTTCGTACTCCTCCTTGGCCGGAGTTATGTAGGGCTTAAGCCCCTCTACCTTTTCCAATCTCTCCAACGACGGGGGTACACCCATATTGCTCTGTTTTGGGATGAACGGGAGATGGTTGCTCCTTACTTATATATATATATATCCTTTTCCCCTTAATTACTTTTCTTGGGATATCCTGCCAGCGTGGGAGTTGATAGAGAGGAATATAAGAATAAGATAATGGAGAATAGAATCTGACCATTTACAGTAAGAGGACACGTAGTCACCAAGACGCAGTTATACTTTTATATTCTAGCGTGCTCTTTCAGACGGGGTCTCTCTTTTTTCAGACTAAAAATTTAAACGTATGCAGTGATCTCATTTTCTTAAAATTAAATCTGATTTTAATCCATGCTTGAAGGGATTTAAACCCGGATTGCTTGACACTGTCTTAAAGATACTCCCACTGACACTGACTGTTAGAAAAATTATAAAGGAGACAGAAATTCAGAGGCATGAAACACTTTCCTTAAAGAAATATTTGTCTCACTTGATATTCAAAATTACTTCGAGTAAATGCAAATTTTCTTCCCATGATACAACAGAAAATGAAAATCCCAGCAAGCAAAATTGGAATTTTCCACTAATTCATTGCAAAACAAGTTTGTAATATTGCAAAAGTTTTTAACAGAAAAATTTTAAAAAAGAAGTTAAGTATAGATATCTGAAATTATAAACTATTTATAGGTTTGAAAAGGTGCTTCCAACAGTCATAACTTTTCAAAACACCCCTTGGAACAAACAGACACTTTTCAACAACCACTTGTCTATTCATATTTTTAAAAATTTAAAATAACATTAAAAAATAACATATTCAAAATATATATATTAAAATGCTAGAATATTTAAGCGGCAGCGGCAAGCGTGCTAAGTGCGCCAAAATCGCGCATTATTCGCGCTACCCGCACGTGGGTTTAGAAGCCTATACCTTATCAAATCCCAATAATCATTAAATTCTTTTAAATCTCTAAAAGAATGCTCATATATCCGATGTGGGACTATCTTGTTTTTTACAAACAAATACTAACAATCCCCCACTTTGTTTGGAAAAAAAAAATTATTTTATTTAAAAATAATATGCAATATGTAAACAATGAGATAAGTATACATATGTAGAGGTATCTTTCGATTTAAACCTTTACTTAGTACAAACACCTCAAAGTTCTATCAAAGTCGCTAGTTGCCTTAACATTAAACTAATTACTCTTTGTGATAGAACCGGAGAATGTTATACATATACTAATCTCTTGTTTCAATGAGAATTAATATTTTAGCATTGTTATGGTCTTGTGCTTATTCCCAGTTCATGAACTCTTTAAAGAACAAACCTTTAGCTCTTTTAAGAAGCGGCACCACTTCTAAGTTCATATAGGTGAAACGTCTACAATGTGTTCTCCATTACTTTAAACACACAACAATAATGTATTAGACTTTCATTAAGAGCATAATTCATCCTCTTATTCTGTAATGGACAATATTAACATTATCTTTTAGGGCTTAATGCGTCAATATCAATCAATCACTTTCAGAAACTTGTTATTACCCCAAAATATTGGTTCTCTGTTCCAAATAGAGGGGCCGTTTGTAAGGTGCATGTTAGCAGGCGATTTTTTGTCTGCTATATTGTGTGCCTCCGCCTAGTTTGAATGAAGAAGAAGAAGAAGAATGTTAGCAAGAGGATCTCTACTCCTGAGATAAGAGATTCAATGGAGGTGAAAACTTGAGTGAAGTGGAGGTTTCTTCTAGCTCTATGGTCATGGAGAGCACTGGTCCAAAAGGGGCTAAAAAGAAGCTGCTGATAGAGGATATTCTGACGAGATCTAATCCTTTGTCAGATCCTCAGATGCCTCAACTCAAATCTAGTGTTCCGATTCCTCGTTTTCTAGGTAATCCTTCTATCTCTTCATGGTCAGATGAAATGGATGAAATGGATGAGGAACTTGAATCTCGGTTTATTGAGGATGTTAATCTAATGGAAGAAAAAGATGAAGCTGTAGTTTCTAAACAATCTACAAATGTAGACACTATGATTGAGAATCCAAGTATTGAGGAAGTTAGGGATGAAGATAAGGGTTATAATATTGAGGTAAATACTATTTCATTGAAAAAAATGGTCCAGAAACTGGAAAATCCTTTGTCAGTTTATTTGCTGATAGTATGAAATATGGTAATGGCATGGCCTTAGAATTTTTTCCACCAGCACAGGAAAACACAGCTACATTTTCTTTAGACGAATGGAAGGAGGGGGAAGTTTACTGGAAGCATGCTTTGATTGGTCATGTGATTGGGCTTAACGTCAAATTTAAATCCACGGAAGCATATGTGAACAAATTATAGGGTAAAATTTCTATTCCACAGGTCCATTTAATTAAACAAGGAGTGTTTCTTTTTTATTTTTAATCGGAGAAACTAATGAGAGAAGTGTTAGAAGCTGGACCATGGTTTTTTGGGTCTAGACCTTTTGTTTTAAAGCCATGGACAATTGATGCTGATATAGAGAAGATTCAAGACTTTAACTATCCTATGTGGCTTCAATTTCCCCATTTGAGGCTGAATATATGGAGTCCTAATGGAATAGGCAAGATTGCTAGTCTTAATGGTGTTCCTCTAACTACTGATAAGTTAACTGCATCAAGACAAAGATTGTCTTATGCCAGGTTTTGTTAGAAGTCAAATTGCCTTTAAAAGAGCCCATGCCTGATTCTCTTACTATACAAGGTCTAGATGGGATTTGTTATGACCAAAAAGTGATATATGGGCTTAAGTCGAGATGGTGAACATCTTGTCACATTATTGGGCATATGTCTGAGAATTGTAGAAGACAGAAGACTAGAAAGATGTGGGTACCAATTAATAAAAACCCTACAACAAAAGAAGATTCAGATAAAGGGAATGTGCCTGGGCAAGAATCTAGGCAAGGTAGAGTAAATATCCATGGGAAAACTAGTGTTAATGTGCCTGAACAAGTTAGAGGAAATGCCCCTGGGCAAGATGAAGGTAATTCAATGTTGCAAATAGAGAAGATCAAAATTGTTGTTGCATATATTCAGGCAGAAGAAAATCAAGCTGGTGATACAATGCAGAGTTCTGGAAAACATGCACAAACAGTAAATATTAGTCAAAATGTATATGGACTAGCTATCATGCACCAGTTTTCATCCCCAGTTATTAATACCACTGGATTCACTAGTGTTAACAGATATAACATGTCAAGGAGAGCAAATACAAGTGCTATGATTAATGATAAAGGGATTTCATGCTCTCAAGCATCTCATTTTTCTCATTTGGACTATCAAGTGCATGACTTAGACCTCTCTAGCATTGACAGAGGTGGATCATCTTCTTAATGCATTTAGCCATATGGAATGTTAGAGGATTCAAGAAATCCTCTAAACACATGATTGTGAAGCAATTTATAAGTCAATACAAACTTCCATTTATAGCTTTGTTGGAAACAAAAGTTACTGAAAGGAAAATGCATGTTATAGCTAAAAAAGTAACAAAAGATTAGGATTGGATCTCAAATGTACAACAGGCAAATACTGCTAGAATCTGGATTTATGGGATAGTGATCTTCTCACAGTGCAACAAATTACAGCCTCTGATCAGTTTATGACTTGTGCTCTGGAAGCTAAAGATGTCAGTCTTTCAAGTCTGATTTCTGTAGTTTTCATTCAACAAAGCCTCTCCTATGTTAGCAACCTAGAATGGGTGACTAACCACAGGATGAATGAATGCTTGGGATAATGAAGACTATCCCATACAGTAGCCGACCAAACTACCTACAGAGATAGATGATTCAGGTTTTCATAAACTGACGAAACATGAAATTTTCCATTCACACAACAGCTGCTGATTAAATTTTGCAGATTTTCAATGCTCCCCAACTTGCCAATCATCATATCTCTCACCTTAATAATCTGCTTCCACATCCACGAATCATTTTTCTTAGCTAGCACCTGCCAAACATTAGCTTGCTTTAAGTAGTTGCCGTGTACCCATTTGATCCACAAGAGATCCTTTTTAAGATGAATTAACCACAAAATCTTGATAGCAGCAGCATGATTCCAGATTCTTGCAGAAAACACACCTAAACCTCCATGATTTTTATTTTGACATATTGTATTCCAGGAGACCAGAGGAATTTTCTGATCCCAAAGAAACTCAGAACATAACCTATCAATCTTATGAAGAACTCTGCTTGGCAAAATGTAATTATTTGTCTAGAAGATATGAACTCCCAGAATGACAGATTCGATCAACTGTAATCTCCATGCATAAGATAACACCTTCTTCTTTTTCCAACTGTGGAATTGCTTAGAGATTCTACTGAGCAGAGGAGAGCAATCCAAACATGAAAGCCTTTTTGAGATCAACGGTACTCCAAGGTACCTCACTGGTAGAATTCCTTCAGATAAGTTCAAGTAGGAGCATATTTGTTGCTTAAAAGAGTCATCAATACCACTCATATATATTGAGCATTTATTTGAATTTGTATCCAAACCAGATACACAGCTAAACTCCTGAAGGCAGCTAAAATTTTTTGATATTGAATTCATATCAGCCTTTTCAAACAACAGCAAATCATCAGCGAAAAACAGGTGTATAATCTTTAATTTGGAGCACTTAGGGTGGTATTTGAATAATCCATCATGTTGAAGGGTACCAAACTTTCGAGATAAATATTCCATACCTTATACAAATAGGTAGGGAGAAAGAGGAACACTTTGCC